TCTTTTCCTCTTTTATACTTCTTTAACAAATAATTATAGTCTATTTATATATCTCTTTTTTTGTTTAGCTTTATATAAAGAAGAAGAAATTTAAAAGAAAGTATACTTAGACTTTCTAATATAATCATCTAGTTTGTTGTTTAGATAAATTAATATAGCAGGTTGTATTTGTGTATTTTTAGAATATTTGAGTAATGTTATACTTATTAAATTAAATTAATATATTAATTCTTAAAATTTTTATTATATATTTAATAAAGTACTAGTGAGACTATTTTATTAAAAAAAAAATTAATAAAATAAAGATATATATAAACAAGATTTTATTTTAATATTATATTTAAAAATAATAATAATAATAATCTTAGAATACTTCAAAAACTAGAAATAGAAATCTATAAATTAGAAAAAGTGAAGTATATAAATACTAGGATTTTAAATAAACTTTACAAGGGTATAGTAGTTAAATAGATTTAAAACCTAATTGCAAGTAGAAGCCTTAGCAACTATAATACTAAATTAGCCAAAATAGAATATAAAAGGCTTTAGTAGGTTTATCTCAAGAATAAACTAGTCTAAAGTTAGTAAATTCTAATATATAAATAAAATTTAAACAATCAAGTTAAAAAATTTTACTAGATAGAATTAGGCTATAATTAAAAAGATTTAAATAGTCAATTTCCTAATTAGATTGCAGGTATAGTAGCTAGTATAAAACCTAGAGTAGACTATTTAAATAGACAATTAAAAGTTGTATATACTGTATAGCTAGTTATATTCTTATTTGTAAAAAAAAACCAAAGAGCTTAAATAGATAATCTCCTATAGATTGCAGATATAGTGGCTAGTGTAAAACCCAGGTAAACTACTTAAAATAAATAACTAAAAGTTGTACGTGTGGTTAGTTGTACCTTTGTTGTAACTAAAACTTAACTTCTAATAAAAAGTTATAGCCAAAGAGATCATCTTTAATACCAAAAAAACAAGAATGCAGGTGAATCGGTGATGAAACTTACTATTGCACGACGTGCTAAACCTCTGGCATTTGGAGGAAGTTGATAGCATTTACGATCACCAAAAGTTGGTGCAGAATTTGCAGCTTCTCTGTGCATTTAAATCGTTGTTGAGTGATTATTTTAAAACTTGTAGAACATTTATTGTAATGTGAACCATACCTAAATGGCCCATAAAAAGAACTAGCAAATTTCGCGCTGTAACTCATTAATAAAACTTTATTACCAAGCTTCTCTCTGATTAATGATTCTTTGATGGCTTTGATTCGTCCATCCATCATGTCTGATGGTGCGATACAGTGTGCACCTTTGACAAAGACTAATTAATAATCATGAAAAAAAGAATTATAAACTTTTAAGGATAGCTAACCAGCTTTAGCATATTTTATCGCCACTTCAGCGATACGTTTAACGCTAGCCAAATTATCGATAGTGCCATCTTCATTCAAGTACCCTAAAAGTAACAAAGAATTTGATTATCATAAGAAAACTAAATTTATATATCGAATGATTTATGATGTGATGATAATTTTAAGATCTTTTTAATTTACCACAATGACCATGATCTGTATATTCACAAAGACAAACATCACAAGCAATAAATAATTCTGGAAATTTGTTTCGAATAAGTTTTATCGCTAAAATTACTGGTCCATCTGGATCATCAGCTTTTGATCCAGTCGCATCCTTTAATTTTTTTTTTTTTTTTTTTTTGAATTAATAAAATTCATCAAAATAAATACTCTAAAAATTATGAAATGATCGGTCAATGACAGGAGTGAATTTACCTTCCCACTAGTAGGAACACCAAATAATATTAATGATTTTAAACCTTTTTCAACGAGAGGTTTAAGAAATCCTTCAAGCTTATTAATACCCCATCTTCTCATTTTATATGGAAATGTATAATTAAAATGTTATCATTATTTATATACGAATTTAAAAAACTTAAAACTTCTCACATGTACCATAAATCATAATTCAAATATTTTCTTTAGTGCTAGTACTTAATTACCTTTTTTGACCAGGTAAAGAAGAAATATTTTCTTCTGCATCAGGTATATCAGTTATAAAAATTGGATACATTAATGAAGCTTTTCGTAAACTTCTTTCTGATTGCCATAATCTAGATGTCGGATGATTATAGCCTCCTTGAAGAATAGAAGAAATATCAGTCATCTTTTCCTTTTTTTTTTTAGGGGGAATTAAAATTGAATATGAATATAGAATATTATAGAGGATTCAGTTTTCGTAATATAATCTGCAAATCCGAATCGCAGAAATCCGAATCGCAGAAAAAAATAATATTTACACCATCATTTAAATATAAAAAAAAACTGGATTAGGTTGAAGATCATAATTTCATGTTAAATTCATACGAGTATCACTAAATGAAGACCTGAAAATCTTTATAGATAAGATTTCCTATAGACAAGATTTTCGAGTTTTTCATTTGGCGTTATTCATTAGATATATTGGTAATACTGATTACCACTATTACTAAGTAAAAGGATAATTCCTCAAGTGAATCATTGCAAGATTAATGAATATCAAAGAGCTATTTACCAAACAAAAAAACATGTAAATCATTTAAGATCCAATCATATAATTTTGAATAACAGTCACACGATTGTCACGCAAAATCATGGGGTAAACCTTTTCATACTGTAGTCTAAATTTCACAAGTGAAAAAAAGCTTTCTAACCTTTATTTGGTAAAAAGAAGAACTTTGTTTAATTTAACATTGGAAGCTTCTTTTTTATAAAGTTCGGCGGCTACGTATTTTTTACCGTTACGGTGTATAATCTGCACTCATAAATTACAGAGTTAGCTATTATCACCATTATGTTTAACACACATGATTCACGTTTTATTTGTTATTTTCTTATATATGGGTCAATCCCTACTGTTATGAGTACGTATTCGGGGAAAATTCTTAAATATCGATGTTCAATCAATCTTTAATATATAAGATAAAAATAGAAATTTCCCGATCAACCAACCAACGCTAGCTATAGTTCTGGTCAACTTGTTTAAGAACGTTTGTCAAGATTTTGTATTAGAACCAAAAAAAAACATATATATATTAAGATTTATTTAAAACTATATTAAGATCTTATTAAAGCAAAT